TTGACAATTGGCGGAGATCCAACCGTTGGATTGTAATGAAACTTTAGTATGATGTTTTAGAAGCACAAATGGATCTTTGGAAGTTACGGATCGGAAATCTGAGGTGCGGATCTTTCGGATTGAGTTACGTAAGGTTGTGGACACTACCGTTGATCTTTGACCGACGATTGACTTTTGGTCAATGAGTCTCAAATCATTCTAGAACGTCATTGAGATGTGTTTTATGTAGGTTATGTGTTCTATTGATAAGAATTCTGAGACGTGACTAAATAATTGTTCTAGGTGAGGATCGTTTGTGACATCTCGATGTTTGTGCTAGGGAGTTGTAGCGCGAACCTTAGATGAGTGGGTCTTTTTCCTTTTATCGTATATAGATATGACTGATAATTCCACAAATACTTTTAAATTGTTCTATGCATTTTATGCCATGTTATATATATATATATATATATATGTTAAAATACTATGGTATGATTAAGTTTTAGATTGCATTATGGCATATCTATACGCATATTATCGGCATATAATTACTGTGAATGCTTTGAAGTACTAAGTTGAACAACGAATGACTTGATTCCGTTTGAGGGTACGTAGACAGTCTAACAAGACAGTTAGATGCAGCCATAAAACAATCCAAATTTAATATGGTACTTGGTTTCATTAAGGAATGAAGTTATGATGGTTAACAGCGTAGAGATTAACCATGATTTTATTCTGGTCTATCACTGGTTTAGTTCTGATTAAGAATGTTAGGACGTTAAAGTGGTTATGCCAAATGACGCTGCGGACGCCCAGGTAAGCTTCATGTGAGTACTTATTGATGATAGAAATTGCAGTGAGTATAGTTGTGATGAGGGTCAGCCGTACATGTCACGTTAGGTGACTCTGGCTGACATGGTACTATTGATGGATATGGATGAGTCGTACATGTCATTATAGGTGACTCCAACTTATCTGCTAGCATTGATTGATGAGATATTGATGAGTCGTACAGGTCACTATAGGTGACTCCGACTTATGTGCTAGCATTGATTGATGAGATATGGATGAGTCGTACAGGTCACTATAGGTGAATCCGAGTCGTACAGGTCACTATAGGTGACTCCGACTTATGTGCTAGCATTGATTGATGAGATATGGATGAGTCGTACATGTCACTATAGGTGAGTCTGACTTATGTGCTAACATTGATTTATTGAGCACATGATTATTTATATTGTTCATGAGATGCTGTGTTGTGATATATTTATGGATTTACTGTTGATATACTTTTGATTTTACATTGACACGTGGTATGGTTTTTTTTAAAAAAAAAAAACTATACAAGTGTCACAGCGAGGGGTTATAACGATTTAGAAGGTTTTTATTAAAATTTTATTTACAGGGCCACTCACCCTTGCTTGGTTTCCACCCTCCAGGTTTTTTTAGCTAAGCTTTCTTATCGATGAAGATTTGGGGCAAATTTTGGTATTGGAGATTACCTTTAATGGTATGATTCTCAATCCACTCTACTGTACTTTACTTATGCTCTGACATCACGTGTGAAATGAGTTCATTTCCGCTCACATCGCACTCTCGTATTTAGACACTTTTAGATTTAAATTTATTCACATTTTTCTCACATCACTATACTTTATGGCTTCGTCACCCTCTTGGTGTCGACCAACACAACTCAATTTGGAGTCCAAGTGGCTTTTCCGGGTCGAGGTGTGTCATGTTAGGGGTAATAATATGTGCAATAATTATGTTTTCATTGTAATTAAGGTGAGTAATAACATTTATTGATTTTATTTTGAATATTGTGGTACAAATTGTAAATATTTTGTAATAATAAGTCAATTACTTTTATACTTGGTAGTCATTTTTAAATTTGAGTTTTATTTGGATGTTTATAACTAGGTTGGTTTTTGTCTAGGAAATTAAAGTTGTAAGGGTCTATATCTAAAGAACCCTAAATACTATTGTGTTTTTTGTTTGTTTTTTTTCCTGTTATTTAGACTCACACTCACACTCATGGAAATTTAGAGATGATAACTATTTACATGTGTTGATGCTCAAAATTGGATGGACTTTAGAACAATGTAAAGTGTCAGGTTTGTGACCTTCGCAAGGTTGCTCCGGTCACCTAGTAAGGATAATATGTAAAGAGATAACGATAGGGAAGTAAACACAAGATGTACGTGATTTACCCTAAGTTGGGCTACGTTCACGGAGTAGAGGAGTACTCATTAATAGTGAAAAGTTTACAATACATAAGTTCAAGCATAATCATCATTAGTGATTTCTAATGAAGAGTTTAAGTACAATAATGACATTATTAGGAATTCATTGTAGGAGAATGGTCTCCTTTTATAGTTGAGGAGAGTCTTCGGCTCCCGTCCGCGGTCGATCTAGGACTCCAAGAGCTTTATTCTGATGTTAACGCGTGTCGTGTTGTGATTGAAGAGGAACTTATGTGCTTTGGAAAGGGTGCCTCAACACGACTTCTTCAGTGAATCCCTGAAGGTATAAAGTTGACTGGTACTTGGTAGTTTCGGGATTGGTGAAATATAATACAAACAACATGAAATTTAAACTTGAGAATTGAAGGGTCCCAAAATTCCCTTTTTTTTTCCCGTGAAAATTCTAAATTCTGTGGTTATGAATCCAAATTAGAAAATTAGTGCATCCTACTTTATAAATTCTTTTACCCAAATTTCAATATTATTTTTCTAGTTCAAAATGGAGGGTAAGGGCGTGCAAGCCTTTTCAAGAATGAAAATCCTCTGGTAATTTTTGCTTCATTGAACGAATTACACGAATGGTGGAGCAAGTTTGGGTACCCATGCCTCTTCCCCCCAGATTATTAACATATGAAAGATGGATATTTTCAGAATGGTGGTTGAGATATAACAAAAGAGACTTGGTTAAATCTCAACCTTTTGCTTTTTGTGTTTTGATGCGCAGGAGAGCAACACTGGGAATGGTAGAGCATATACCGGCAAAATAATGTGTATAATATGGAGAAAGGATGTAATTACGGAAAAGTCTACAAGGACTGATTTCTTGGCAGTCCTGACATGGGCAACAGGACAAGGGAGTATATGGTGGCTCCCGAACAACGTAGTTGCTTGACAACTGAGAACTGTCAAGATTTGATACCCTTGAGTGTGGATAATGATGCTAGCAGTGACATATCTGACATTGACATATACCAAAATTTTGTTATATATGGTTATCTTCGGCTGATGATTTGGTGCAATGAGAACGCAAAAACTTTCTGCAGTGGATGAGGAGAATAGGGATGAAGACGGATTTCTTCGTATCACCTACAGTGTAGACGACAAGGGAAGAGTGCGCGCATCTCATAGAGAGCTCTGAGTCAGTCGAGATGAATGAAATATTATGATTAATTAGTTTTATGAGATGGCAAATGTAAGATCCCACATCGTCCAGGGAAGTGATCCTTATATGTATATTGTCATCCTTACCTAGCACGAGGCCTTTTATTAGCTCATTGACTTCGGGTTCCGTATGAATTCCAAAGTTAAGCGAGAAGGGGGCCAGAGCACTCCCAGGATGGGTGACCCACTAGGAACTTGTTTGTGAGTTTCCAGAAACAAAACCGTGAGGGCGTGGTCAGGGTCCAAAGCGGACAATATCGTGCTACGGTGGTGGAGCGGGCCCGGGAAGTGATCCATCCCGGGCCGGGATGTGACAATTTGATATCGGAGCCAATTCTTGGCCGGATGTGTGCCGACGAGGATGTCGGGCCCCTAATGGGGGTGGATTGTAACATCCTATATTGCCTAGGGTGGTGGATCCTGTAAGCTTTATATGTATATTCTCATCTCTACCTAGTAAGAGGCCTTTTGGGAGCTCATTGGCTTCGGGTTCCGTAGGAACTTCAAAGTTAAGCGAGTAGCGCGCGAGAGCAATCTCATGATGGGTGACCTACTGAGAAATTCTCATGTGATCCTTAAGGGGGATGGATTGTAAGATCCCACATCGCCCAGAGGAGTGATCCTTATATGTATATTGTCATCCCTACCTAGCACAAGGCCTCTTGGGAGCTCATTGGCTTTGGGTTCCATCGGAACCCCAAAGGTAAGCGAGTTCGCGAGACAGTTGTTGGAGAACAATTCAGAAATAAACAAAAATAACAGAAATTCTAATATTTTATTAACCAAAATATACTTGCTATGCAAAACGAAAATTACACAATAATACAAAAATTAATATAAGAATATTAATGCAACTAACTTGATTACAGAAGGTAGAGGCTAGCGTAAAAGTTATGTCATTCGAACAATATTTTCGTCCCACTCTTGTGTTTGTGATTCTACAACGTCTGCTCGACTAGGATTCAACTACCTAATTTTACAACCCGCACTGGATTATAGAATTCTAGCGAATTTGCTTTGTGTGTTTACTCTCTGGAAATTTCGTATAGAAGTAAGGAGGAAGAAAAGATGTCTGGAATGGAACTGAAGACTCCAGTTATATAGACTCTTTCATACCTCTTCAAATATCTTTTAGATGTATCTGAAGCTATACAACTCTAGTTGTGTCTATTAATCAAAACGTTTTTAATTAAAAACTTAATTCGAAAATTAAAACTAATTGATCAGATTAATTTTAATTATTAGGCCATTGTCTTGATTAATTAATATTAATATTATGGTATAATTATCAAGCCCATTCCACACAAAATGGTGGCCCAAGCCTCAATTCCTATTCCAAGTGGTCCAATACATAACTAATATTGTAGAGGACAAAACATATATAAAGGTCATTGAGAATCTTGTTTTCTCCAATGTGGGACAAGAGTTTCAAAACTCTAATAAGAGTAATCCCATGATGGGTGACCCACCGGGAAGTTCTCGTGTGAGTACCCAGAAACAAAACTGTGAGGGCATGATCGGGGCCCAAAGCGGACAATATCGTGTTACGGTGGAGTCGAACCCGAGATGTGGTGGGGGCCCGAGTCAGGATGTGACAGCAACCATGAAAATGTTATGCTGGAATTTTGACAAGGAAACAAGAAAAAATAAATATTTTACACGCAAGCACTTCACACCAAATTACATAAACAATACAAATCATGAAGATATTCCTTCCAACCCTAATCATCCTATACACGGCTCGAATTACAGCTGTGCAGCCTGTGGTCTAAAGTATTATTGGCTTTAGCCACTTCATTTGACTATTGTGGCTTCCTCATATAAAAGCCTTGCAACTTTGATATTTCAACATGTAATGGACCGAGTTGAAAGATACACTCTCAATCCCGAAGGCGAAGGACTCTCGGGGAGCCCACCGCTCGTCCCTCCATTGCAAATTTGTTACATTTTTGACGATATGTATCATGTATGGATACATGATCTAGCTTTTTCTTAATAAAACTTGATTCACCAAATTGTCTAAAGTTCTTGACGAAGAACCATGTGGACTGCTAGCTTCTTCCGCAAGTTTCTTCCACTCCATGGCTTTATTTTTCATTTCCTTACCCTTCTCGCCCTCCATTAACTCTCTAACAAGCTTCTCCACATCATCTCTCTTGACATCATTTTCAATCTCCAAACCGCAGCCCCAATCGTTGCATGTATAGTAACAGTTAGTCGTTTGCTCGGCAAAGATGGGCCAACAGAGCATAGGCACTCCTGCACACAAGCTCTCAATGGTTGAATTCCAACCGCTGTGTGTCAAAAACCCACCAACTGCCGGATGGTTTAAGATTTGCTCTTGAGGGCACCAACTCGGTATAAGACTTCTTTCTTTTGTTTCAAACTCAAATTCAGGGGGCAAAATTGCCGATTCACCAAGAACCAAATCAGGCCTAATTGCCCACAAGAAGGGAAGCTTACTATTTGCAAGTCCCCAACCAAACTCCAAAATCTGTTGTGGCGTGAGGAATATTAAGCTGCCAAAAGTCACATAAACAACTGAATTTTGCGCCTTGGTGTTTAACCATTCGAGGCATTCGGTTTCTTCTTTCCATAGACTATACCCCATAGACTTCAAGGGATCTTTTGGTAGTTGATCCAGAAGCAACTGGAGAGGGCCAATGGCATAAACAGGTGGAGGCATAGATGACAAAGCACTCAAAGCATCTGGCTCCAATGCATCAAACGTATGAACAACAACAGCTGAAGCATCATGAACTCCTTCCACTGCTGCCAAGGAAAATTTAAACACAGTGTCATTCGGATCTGTAGTTCGAAAGCAAGTTGGGAGATCCCTCAACCGGATACCCTTCATTCCCGGAACCCAATCTATTGCCATGTCCAAAAATCCATTTGTCAAGCTGCTCTCATCTACAACACAACACCCAAGAGGCGGCCTAATATCATGATCAATAATTTATTAAATTAACAATTGGCAAGCAGTATTTAGAGCCTATCTGTGACTGCTTCTGAAAGAGCTAAAAGTGTTTATGGGTTGTAGAAGAATAAAATCATGTTAGTGCTTCTTCAGGAAGCTCCTACAAGTGCTTAGATTTTTTATTAACTTTCTACAAATTATTATAGCAAATTACATTTCTAACCTTTTAAAGGTGCAAGTCCCTTTTCCACCAAAACAGGATATTGTTTAGAGCCCAGGAAGCCGGCTGCAGCGAAAGTAAAGAAGATTACGATAGGAACTCCAATCTCGTGAGCAGCTGTGATGGTGGATGGCAAAAAACCATCTGAAACCATACAAGTCACTGGAGGATTATTGTCCTTCAGTGTCTTGAGGAGGTTACGGAATGGAGCCAAGAAGTTCTTTACGATGGACTCCAGAAGCAAAGGGAGGTCTTGGCGGGTATCGATATCTGAAAGGCCATCTGGGATTGTTTCGTACCGAAAGTCAGGCAATCCATCAAGGGAGTTCGGGCCGAGAGACTTGAGAAAGCGCTTATGGTTGTACTCAGTGTTGATAAAGGTTATGTGAAAGCCTTTGTGGTGGAGGAGCTTTGCAAGTTTAAGCATCGCCTTTACATGGCTTGGAAGTGGAAGCGGAGTACATACAGCATGAGGCTTATTGCCTCCTACTTCTATGGAACTAGTCATCTCAGATTGTATGAATCTCTAGTGTAGGACATGTTTATATATAGATGGATAGTGCACAATTATATAAAATGGACGAATACGGTTTTACAAAAAAATACTAAAATAACTATCATTTAATACAACAATTATATAGATTTATATTTCAATGATTTTAATAAAATATCTTTGATGGGGACGCAAAAAATATAAGATTCACATTGATGGGAGGAGAGGCATTTCATGGCCTACAAGTAAGTTGTGGTACTCCCTCCTATATTGCCAATTGGTTTAATGGTGAAACTTTAACTTTCTTCACGGTGTTAGAGCAGGTTGTCCCACGTGTGAAGGCAAATGGCCACACGCGCTCCACGTCACCTATTGTGTTGTCTACGTTTTAGGCTTGAGAATGAGTCCTACATTGATGGGAGGAGAGACCTTACATGAGCTTATAAATAAGTTGGTTACTTTTTATATTGTCAATTGATTTTATGATGGAACCTCAACTTTCTTCACAATGATTCAAATAAACAATGGACGGTCGTGTTTGCTCTTTATACTTTGATCTCTTTGGCACATGTGTTGACAATTTCTCTTTGACCTTTCTGCTCATTCATTTTGGCTCTTTATCATCCTAATTTTTTTTTGTTCTCTTTGGCATATGTGGCAAGTGCCTTCGCCCATGAGCGGTAGGTCTCGGGTTCGAGACTTGGGAGCAGCCTCTCCATAAATGGGGGTAAGGTTAGCCGACATTCACCTCTCCCAGACCCTGCGTAAAGCGGGAGCCTTGTGCACTGGGTACGACCTTTTGGCATATGTGGTGACAATTTCTCTTTGACCTTTCTGCTCATTCATGTGGCTCTTTATCATCCTAATTTTTTTTGGGCCAAATTTTTTTCTTGGTCCATGTGGTGAGACGTTAGTTTTAATCCAGCCCTTGTGGTGAAAAGCCTGTTAATCATGCCCATATGGTCAAGTCCGTTAGCAATACTGAACCAATTTGCATTTTCCTCTTTTCTTCCATTAAATCCCCGTTAAGATTTAAGGGCAAATTATGTCCTTCACTCATAAGAAGCATGCCAGTCTTGCTGACCAAATTCATTCTTCTCATCAAACAAATGAAGCCCGCTTTCATCTACAATTTCTTTTGCATCTGCATTTTGAAACCACAATTTCCTTCTCTCTAATCAACTGAAACTCTAATTCATTAAAAGTATCATCGGTTATTCTTCCTTGTACTATTTCCTCTTTGTTTATCACAAGCTTTTGCTAGTCTTCCGTGATATAGCTCGCCAAAGGCTTCAAATTCCTTGTTTCTGCCATTGATTTTTCATCCACTAAAACATCATTAACATTCTTGGTTTCCCCTATTGGTTTCTCCGCTGCTAAATTATTCTCCGCATTCTTGCATTCCAAAACGCTCCCAGTATCTCTAATCGGTTTGATATCCTCATAAACGGTCTTTGCATCATTCGCATTTCTCGTTTCTTGGAATCCTTGCATACCTTCACATTCATTTGGAACTTCCCCAACTCAACCTTCCCTGTTATTAGTTGATTCTTGCTATCCAGTATCAGGAATTCTAGCTTCAACTGGTATCTCAATCCCTTCAGCATGTGAACCAATTTTTTATTGCTTACCTCTGCACCTCCTTCACTTTCTCCCACATACCGCTTGTCCATCTCCAATGCATTATCAATGTTGCCTTCATCCCAAGAATGTAAACGCTAAAAAATATACAGTTGTTGTCGGTGATGCCTTGAAGCAATTGGTTGAGATGGAGGTGGAAGAAAATGCCAAGAGAGATTAATTGTTTCATGTATTGTTGGATATGGGGATAGTTGAGGAAATAGATGGAGAAGGTGTGGGTAGCGTGGCTGGGGAAATGGAGAGTCTCCTGGGGGGAGACGGTCGGTGCCGTGCTTAGATGGTTTTTCCTATTATCGTTAACCATGCACGGAATTTACCATTTTACCCCTGCATATGGATGGAGTTTTCACAGAAATTCTGATTCGGACTAAGATCGTTAACAGACTTGACCACAAGGTTATGATTAATAGTTTTTTTTTACCACAGGAACCAGATTAAAACTACTGTCTCACCACAGGGACCAAGAAAAAAATTTGGCCTTTTTTTTGTCAGACTTAATCATCCTACTTGAAACCAGAATAGTATTAAAGACCTGATCAGAATTAATTCCCAAGGTAAAATGGCTGTCGTTACTGTAACAGAATCAACTAACAGTTCACAAAGATTTTCAGCAAAGTGGAACATCCGCGTATGTTAGTATTCATTTATATAAGCATACTATTATCTGAATAAAATCCAAACGACTAATTTTTCATTGAGAAATGGCAAGACCGGCCTAACAACAATAAGTATATTTTTGAGGAAGATGCTCACCCCCCAAAAGATGCACTCAACAAGAATGATGCAAAAAATTGAAAATGTTGAAAACAGATGCCAAAATATTGAGTATGTGTAATCAGCATTCAGTTAGGATGATAAAGAGCCACTCCTTCAGACATGCTCTCAAGAGTTGAATTCCAACTGCTGTGCGTCAAAAACCTAACAACTGATGGAGGGTTCGGGACTTCCTCTTGCGGGCACAAACTCATTATTAGACCTCTTTCTTTCGTTTCAAACTCAAACTCTGGTGGAAAAATTGCTGATTCACCAACAACCACATCAGGCCTAATTACCCACAAGAAGGGAAGCCTACTATTTGCAAGTATTCAACCAAACTCCAAAAGCTGTTGTGGTATCATGAATAGTAAGCTGCCAAAATTCATATAAACAACTGAATTTCGTGCCTTTGCGCTTAACCATCAAGGCACTTGATTTCTTCTTTCCCCAAACCATATCCCATAGGCTTCAAAGGGTCTTTCGGAAATTGATTGAGAAGCAATTGGTGATAAATTCCGGTGAGTTAGTTTGGTTCCTGGAGGCAGACAGGAATAAAGAAGCAGAGAGCACAAATCGGGGGAATGTGAAAGGTTTCTTATCTGTGAAGTAACCACAGATATTTCATTAAATATCAACTCATAGGATATTTCCTTACAAGCTAATCTAGAGCAATCTCAGCCCTTGATTAAAAAACAAAGATCTAAAGCATACACTTGTCTTATGAGACTAGACATAAACTTTTCTATTGATTTCTTCCTTCTCAGCCACTTGAACAAAACTGAATTCTATTTAATTCCAACACTCCCCTTTAAATGAATTCTGGTTTTGATCCCAAGCATTCCTCTGAGATAGACAAATCTTTCCCTTGGTAGAGCTTTGGTAAAGATGTCTGCCATTTGATCCTGTGATTTGCAGTAGATCAGTTCAATGGTATTCTCCTGCAAGGCTTCCCTTATGAAGTGAAACTTCCTTTTGATATGCTTGGTTTTCTGATGAAAAATAGGATTTTTGGTCATAGCTATTGCTGATGTGTTGTCACACATAAATGGGGAAGCATCCACTTGCATTTCACCAAAATCCTTTAACACAAACCTCAACCATATAGCTTGAGAGGTAGCCATTGCAGCACTCACATACTCTGCTTCAGCCGTAGACAATGCAACACTTTGTTGCTTGACAGAGGCCCAAGAAAATATCCCAGAACCAAATGTAAATGCATATCCTGAGGTACTTCTCATGTCATCTTCACTGCCACCCCAATCGCTGTCACAGAAGCCTACCAGTATTGCTTTTTCTCCCTTTTCATATTTGATTCCATAGTCCAAGGTCCCTGAGATATACCTTAGTACTCTCTTAGCAGTTCCCATGTGAATTCTTGTGGGATTATGCATGAACCTTGATAAGAGACTGGCTGCATACATAATGTCAGGTCTTGTAGCAGTCAAATAAAGCAGACTTCCAACCATTCTTCAGTATAAGCAGTCATCAGCAGATTCAGAACCATCCACTTTACAAAGTTTCTCATTCGTGATCAAAGGTGTTGCCACAGATTTGCATCCTTTCAGATTGAATCTTTCAAGCAATGATTGTGCATACTTCTGTTGATGTATGAAAATCCCAGTAGTTTCTTGTATTACTCCAATTCCCAAGAAGTGATGCAACAAGCCAAGATCCGACATCTCATATTGTCTCATCATGTCCCTTCTGAATTCTTCAATCATTTCTTCACAATTACCAGTAAAGACCACATCATCAACATATATAGACACAATAAGCATCTCAGAGTTCTCACCAGTTTTTGTATATAATGTAGCTTCACTAGGACTTTTGTTAAATCCACTCTTGCTGAAATAGGAGTCTATCTCACTGTACCAAGCCCTGAGGGCTTGTTTGAGTCCATATAGTGCTTTGTTTAACTTATAAACCCTCTCCTCTTTATTTGGTACTTCAAATCCTTGTGGTTGATCCACATACACTTCTTCCTCCAAAATGCCATTTAGAAAGGCTGATTTGACATCTAACTGGTGAAGTTTCCATCCCTTTTGGGCAACAAGAGCAATCAAGGTTCTAATGGTGTCTAACTTTGCCAATGGGGCAAAGGTTTCATTGAAATCTACCCTAGGTTGTTGTGAGTAGCCTTTGGCAACTAATCTTGCTTTGTTCTTCTGTATTGATCCATCCAAATTCAGTTTGGTCTTGTAAATCCATTTCACACCTATCACAGGTTTATCACTCGGTCTATTTACCAATTTCCAAGTAGAGTTTTTCTCAATCATGGCAATTTCTTCACTCATTGCTTTCTGCCAGGATTGATCATTCTCAGCTTCTTCAAAACTCTCTGGTTCAACAACACAATAGTTACACACTGCATAGATCTCATTTAAACTCCTCATTCTCAATGGAGTTGTTTCAGGGGAGGAATCCTGTAATTCTTGTCCTTCTGCATTTGAAGTAGAGGACTGAGATCCTTGTGTTGGAGTTGAAAAGTCAGTTTGACTCTCATCTTGTATAACAGGTTCATTCACATTTTGCACTTCAGCTTGTGCTTCTTCCATTGCTAGTGGAAATGAGATAGTGTCTATGTTATTATTTTCCCAATTCCATGCTTCATTCTCCTTGAACACCACATCCCTTGAGAGAATCACTT